TGTGATATCCTTTAACAGGGAGGGAAACTGAGGCAGAGAGAGGCCAATTTAAAGATAACAGGTTGAAGATACAGCAAAATAAGGCAGAACTTGAACTCATTTCTGTCTGACTCCAGAACAGGTACTTTGATTTGCTAAGATATGTGACTAGATCTAAAGAATAATAGCAAGGAACACGTACTGAGGACATGTTGTGTGCCAGGTACCATGTTCCCTGCATTAACTCATTTCATTTTTAAACACTCCTAGGAAATGGGAACTATCATTACCATTTTACCGAAGAACAAACTGTGGCCTAGTGAGGGGAAGTGGCCAAGGTCACACAGATAATAGGCAGCCATGTACCCATGTACAACTTTTCATGGAAGAAGGGAAGAATAACAATGGATTTTGGTGTGGCCACCAAAAGGGATAATGTCCATTACACTGACCAAGACACAGGCACTACTTTCCTAGAATCTAGTGAATTGGCACTGTCTGGGTCTTTTGAGATGGGGACACTGCTTTCTGAATTCTCTCCTTTCTTACTCTTAGAATCAGACCTGGGGGCCTGGAGGGTGCAGGAGATGTATCTGATGTCATCCACCCCCTTAAATTTTATTTTATTTTTTATTTTAATTTTTTTAAAAAGATGACTGGTAAGGGGATCTTAACCCTTGACTTAGTGTTGTCAGCACCATGTTCTCTCAAGTGAGCTAACCGGCCATCCCTATATGGGATCCGAACCTGTGGCCTTGGTGTTATCAGCACCACACTCTCCCGAGTGAGCCACGGCTGGCCCACCCCGTTAAATTTTATATTTACAATCTAGCAGTGTTCTAGAGCATAGCTCTGGAGTCAGACAATATGTCAGTATAGCTGGTGCTACAATAATGCTGCATAACAAACACCCCCAAATCAGTGTCTTAAAACACTAAGGATTTATTTAGCCGTGGAATCTGATCTCAGGGATTTAGGCTGGACTCAGCTGGGGAGTTCTTTTGGTCTCTGCGGGGCTCACTCACATGTTGGGGTAGAGTGGGGGTGGTGTTGGCTTCTCTAGCTGGCTTTGGTTGGAATGATTGGGGCCTTGGACCTGGTCTAGCCCAGGTGTGTTTTTCTCATGGCCACAGTCAAGCACATGCAGAAACATACAAGGTCTCTTGAGTCCTAGGCTCAGAACTGGCACACCAGCACTTCCACCTAAATCTGTTGGCCAAAGCAAGTCACATGGCCAAACCCAGAGTCAAGGGGTAGGGTATGTCCCCCTCACCACCCAACACACACGCCTCTCACCCAAGCAGTCAGAGGACACTGAAGAGTTACATGGTCAAGGATGTCGCGACAAGGATATGGGGCCATTAATGCAATCATACTATCACATATTCTATGTTTGAATCTTTGTTACTTACTAGCTGTGTAACTTTGTGCAAGTGGATTAACCCTTTGGTGCCTCAGTTTCCTACTCTGTAAAATGGGCCGAATAATAGCCAATCGTTAGGGAATTTAATTTGTGGGAATTAAATAAGAGAATGCATATAAAGTACTGAGCACAATGCAAGTGCTCCATAAATGTTCATTTTTGTTCTTACTGCATTATAGAGTTCTATTGATAACAATGTTATTCTGATAATGATAACAGTGATAATTTGCTGAACCCCTACCTTGTGCCAGACACTAAGCCAGGTGCTTTACCACA